TTTCTGATAAATTGGAAGATAATGAATTCGATTTTGCCGTCATTGTAAGGTCAAAAGGCAAGTGAAGCAGTTTGAAATCTTGTTCAACTCACATTTATCCTAAACTCTCCTTTCTCCTTCTGTCTCTCTCTGCACTTTATTTCAGTATATTTTTATTTTCTATTTCTAACCGCAAATTATTTGTACTCGTTATTGTATTGTTATTTATTTGTTTACGTGTATTTACTTCCAAACATCTCCTCCAAGAAGCATTTCTAAACATAACATTCTGAGAATAATATAAATAAGTATCAAAATATAAAACCTCAGTTCTAGTTTGTTAATCAATCATTTTAATGGCTGTAATCTTTTGTGTTATGCAATTATTACACAATTATTAAGAGCTTTTGTTACATTGTAGAAAAAATAAACGAAAGCATTCGAACAATTGTCTGTGTTAAAAGAATTTTTATCTTTTAACCAGTCACACTTTTTCATTTCCCTTTATCCGGCAGATTCAGTCCATAAATGTTTAATTAAGCAAAAATAAATATCTAAGAAATGTTCAATCTCCACTTAACATTTAGTGCCATTTAAAACTAGACATCAACTTTAGAATCATTTCAACGTTTCTAGGAAACAAATTTATTTTGTTTGTTAATATATAAATATAGTTAAAAATTGAAAAACTACTATTCTTATTTTTTTAAAGACTTAATTTTTATGTTCCAGTTTAGCACTTTAAGAGAATGGCGAGCAAACAAAGAAATGCTTAATTTATTATGCGATATTATTCCGGACATTTTCCTTTCATTATTGTATCACATGACTGGTTCCCAATCAATGTCATTCTATTATTGCTTTTAATATTCTATGCCATCTTCCTATTGCAGAAAATATACTAGGATTCATTACATCCGGCACAAATTTCCAATGGCAAAGGAATTGACTACTGAGTCTTCGGATGATTCTTTCATGTGCTTTCGACTTCTTTATTGCGTCTATTAACAATCTCTTTTTCCTTTATCGCTCTCCTTTTTCTAACATATTAGACAAAATATCTGAGAGTATAGCAATAGCTCTCTCTCTCTCTCTCTCTCTCTCTCTCTCTCTCTCTCTCTCTCTCTCTCTCTGTTTGTCTGTCTCTTCCTTTCTTTTTCTCTCTCTTTTTCTTTTTTTCTCTCTCCATCTGCGAACATTGCGATTTTAATGCACATAAGTCAAGTGGCTTAACCATTCTAATAATGAAGCCACTTCTAACGATAGGCCTATTAACCTTCTATCTCTTTTTTGGCAACGTACTAAATGTTTTACTCGACTCTGAATTGGTTAAGCATCCCACATCACAGGTTTTTCTTTCAGATAAGCAGTATGGATTTTGCTTCTCTAAGTTAACTGCTGATGTATTAACGATTATTGCTGAAAGTGTCTATCAAGTGTTAGATAAGAATGCTGAAGTTCGGGATTGCTTTGTATATATCGAAGCATTTGATAGGGTCTGACACGCTCGTCTTCTTTACAAGTTGAAAGGTTATGGTATTTCTGGACGAATTTTTATCTGATTCAATCTTTCTTATCAAATCGAGAAAGGAAAGTTATCTTAAATAACCACACTTTCTAGATCCTTTTGTATTAATGCAGCTGTTCTCCAGGTTCCTTGGACCTAAGTTATTCCTAATTTTCACCAACGAACTTCCTGATGCCATCAGTTCTTAACTTGGTATCTATATTTACTGCTGTCTTAATGGTGAGTCTGGTCAGTTCGATAAGGTCAAATTGCCAGCTAAGCTCAAAATTTATCTGTTATTTGTTAACTGGAACAGAAAAAATGGCTTATTAATTTTAACGGCTTCGAAACAAAACTTATCGTCTAAGAGAATCTTTTTTGCCATCCATCATGCTAATGTTAACCTCCAAGAGAGTGACTGATTGCAACTTCTCGGGCTAACGTTTTCCGCTAATCAAAGAATTATACCAAATCAATTGCTAGGCTTGCTGTTAGGAAAGTTCGTTCACATTGCCGTGTTAGCCTATTTTTCTCACCAAAATCTTATACATTTATAAATCTACCATTGGTTCATGCATTGAATACTGCTGTCACCTGTGATGTGGTGCAACTGCTATGTATTTAGAGATTTTTGATAAAGAGAAATCTGCAATGTTATTGGCCCTAACCTGGCATCTCAGCTTCAGTCACTTTTCCACCGACGTAACGTAGCTTCTCTGTGCCATTTCCATAAATACTTTCAGTTTCATTGTAATTTTTCTGATGAACTTTCCCCCTTTTGTACGTACGCTTTATGAATTTAAGCGCAGTACTAGATTGGCGGTAAGGTCTCATCATTTTACAGTGGAAATGGCAAGAGATGTAACCATAAGTTCTATGCTAACAGTTTCTTCTTCCGCATATCTCGCTTGTGAAACTCTCTTCCAGCTCCCCAGTCAACTTTGACCTTCAAAAATATAAATGCAATGTCAATCATTATATTCTGTCTTTTTAATGTCTGTTCTTTTATTGTCCTCTCTCCTTAATAGTTTATTTTCGTATTCTCTCACACTCAATAACGCTTTGCGTCTTAGTGGTTTTATTGCCTTACTTGGGGAGAAAATGATTAAAAAGAAATTCATAACAATAATTCTATCCGTTAACCCTTAATGCAGCCGTTGCTTTTGTTTTAATTTTAAGTTCAAACTCGCACACCATCGGGTGTAACTGATAAAATAGTTTTGAAAGAAGTTGTCTTTCCATTTTTTTCATAGGATGCTTTCTGAGAAATAAATACTTCTAATAAATGAAATGGACCGATGAATTTTTTTATTTTTTTTTTTTTTACTTTTGATGTAGACTTATAAATATATTAAGCTAGGAGATACACCATAATTCTGTATACCAATTTTAAAACTCTATTAGTATCATGTCTTAGTGTCTGAAGATGTTATCTTACAGAAATGCAGTCTTACATTATTTGCCAGATTTCATTTTTCTGTGTTTTAAGAAACCGAATTATGTTATTCATGGAAGCAGGAGCTCTATTATTGAGCAGTATATATCGTCTAATAAATAGGAATTAACATCGACCAAATGCTTTTATGAATTTTATCGGATTATAAGATGAGGTTTTATGTACATTATTTACATTATTCGGTCTATTGTCCTCATCTTTGTCGCCGTATTTATTACATCGTTTCGGCCGTTGTACGCTCCAGCCTTCTTCAGGTGGTTGGAATGTTGAACTGAACCCTTTATTTCGCTCACCGGGGTAGACTGTTCTAGTTCCACGTGCCATGTTTAATGGACGTCAGTTATCAGTTATCTCCTGTTAAGTCCCCTCTCCAAGTTCTCAACTGCCCGGTTAAGACAATGGAGAACTTTCAGAGGGAAATTAACTATATTAATACTAATACTAAATTAAATATATTCAGGAGCAAATTACAAACAAATTACAAATCAACCAACCAACACTCAACAAATTTTATTATGAATATAGCAACATCATATTAAAGGGCATATAACATTTAATGTTATTATATTGAAAACGCTTGTTTTGCAAAACAACATCCATAACTACAACTGATAAGTTAAAAATTTAAAAATAATTACAGAGCGTGTTCGGGCGGGTTTTTAAAAATCACCATCACAAAGGAATGCAGGTTTTATCGCAGTTAAAATAAGCTTGTCTTTGTAATTTACCTCTGAAGATGATCTTGGAAAAGATCGAAAGTACTTGGGTTAACAAAAACTACACCTTCTTCCTTGATGAATTTAATTTTAACACCAAGAAACTAATTAGACAACTTAAAAGGATCAGTATAAAAATAGGTAGACATAATATGTCTATATTATTCAATGAAATATATATATATATATATATATATATACATGCATGTGTGTGCGTGAATGCGCGCGTGTATGTGTGTGTGTTGATAAATCTTCTTGAAGTTATAAACAATACCCTGAATATAATTTTAAAACACCTAAAATGAAAGTAATCCCGAATAAAATACTTTTATGTAATCACTCATCAAAAACAGAAAAGTTTAATGGATTTTGCATAAATTCCATTCTGTTGGATATTCAGTCACCTTTTTATCGATGTTATTTTCAAATATAATTCATTTGTCGATCAAATCATGGAAATAAAAAAGAATGAAAATATAGAAATAAATACAGTAGAAAAAATAAAATGTTTCGAATGCTTATTCCATATTTCCCGTTATAATACGAAAAGAGTCGAGGCTGAAAATAAAACTTCTTCAAGGAATATTAATTGAATAATTTTACATTTGGATTCCCATTTAATTTCAATTTTTTTTTTTTTTGAAACTTTCGACTAAATTTATTCTCTTCTTTTTCCTTTCTTTTCTTTCTTTTCTCGCTCACATCTTTCCCTACGTTACAATTCTTTTTATATTGCTTCCCCACGTTCTTTGTTCCCTTTTGGAAGTAATAAATCCACCATTTTACACTCGGTATATGCACAGATTAAAACCACGGGAGCATGTAAAACCTGAAATCTAACTATATTGGAATAACATCTTGTAAGAAAATGAAACGAAATCATATAAATTGAAAGTAACAAATGATGCCGGAGACATTGATGTCCACAGAAGGAAAATATTTTCTAATCTTAGCTTATTTATGCTGGTTTCTAATATTTTTCATATTCCCTAATGTAGTAATCGCATTTGTTGTTGCTGTCAGTATCATTTTGTATTGCACTGTTTCTGACTATCAATCTATCTGTATAAAATTGCAGTCATTGCTCGTTCTTTCTTTTTATTTTATACTTATTTGTAGTAATACCGTTGAAGGCGAGGGAAAGAAAGAAGGCAAAGAATGAAAGTAAAAAGGGAAAATTTAACTGGTAAATAGGGAAAAAAACATAAACAAGAAGTCAGTAAAGAAAAGGAATAACAAAATCGAGAAAGAAGATGGTAAAGAAAAGAAAGAAAATAAGAGAAAATATAAAAAATAACCTGACAAAAAATAATTATCATCTGTATTTAAATAATTATCATCTATGTTAATCTATCCCCTTCAATCTATCTATCTATCTATCTATCTATCTATCTATCAAGAAATAAAACTTAAAAACGAGAAAGAGAAAAAGGAACAGGAGAAAAGTAGAAGGAACAGAAAAGGAGACAGAGGAAATAAAACTTGTGCATTAATATAATGTATAATGTATTTATTGAATTCACTTCAACCCCGAAGTTAAAATGTCTCGTCACAGATATATACGTAGAACGTGACAACATTATTTTAATATATATCATCGAGTCTATCTATATTTCTGAGATGAGGTATTATGTACATTATTTACATTATTCGGATTATTGTCCTCATCTTTGTCGCCATATATATCACAACACTTCGGCCGTTGTACGCTCCGGCCTTCTTCAGGTGGTTGGAATGTCGAACTGAACCCTTTATTTCGCTCACTGGGGTAGACTGTTCTAGTTCCACGTGCCATGTTTGATGGATGTCAGTTATCAGTTATCTCCTGCTAATTTCCCTCTGAAAGTTCTCCACTGCCTTAACCGGGTATTGAACTCACACTCTTTGGGTCCTGTCACTGGATCTAACCAACGCCTTTATCCATTGTGCCACAGTGGATAAAGGCGTTGGTTAGATCCACCTGAAGAAGGCCGGAGCGTACAACGGCCGAAGCGTTGTGATAAATATGGCGACAAAAATGAGGACAATAGTCCGAATAATGTAAATAATATATATCATCGAGTAAGACACATTTAATTTGAACAATGGAAATCAAACGTATAATATCTAAGTATACTAAATTTAATGAAAGCTATATTCCTTTCGATTCAGACGATTGTTTTTACTAATACACACACACACATACATTTTTAGATAGATAGATAGATAGATAGATAGATAGATAGATAGATAGATAATATTAGTGGTCATATATATATATATATATATATATATATATATATATATATATATAAATTTCCAAGAGGATAGAGTCCAGGTAGAACTCAATGTCCAGGACAGAGTAAGAAAAAGGCTCAAACACTAATATTCCATGGTTATAATTTATTACATTGGAATCGTAATTACGATCCAATTCATCAGACCTACAAATTCAAAAAGAAATCGGAAAATATAACTCCGGGTATAAAAAATAAGATTTTAGTAAGACTGTATGTGTGGAAGTGGGAGACAAGTGTGAGAAGGAAATGAAAGCTCTAGAGAGGGGTAACAGAAGAAAGAAAAACAGAAAGGCCTAAAGGTGATGGTGGGGATTAAAATTTAACAGAGAGAAGTTTTAAAGAGAGGAGTTAAATAACGGTTTGAATGAGTGAGATACAGATAAATAGGAATTGGTTTCGATGCATAATTCGTTATCGAATCGCTGACCTAAATTAAAATTAAAAACAGACACCGGAAATGTGTGTATACATTTTTGGTGACACTACGCACAATAAAACACGATATGATCTAAACTTAAAATCCAGAAGATGAGAGAGAGAGAGAGAGAGAGAGAAAAGAAAAAAGTGAAAGATAGAGGTGGGGGGCGACTAAAAACGAAGGGCATTTATAAGCACATACATACATATAAGTGTGCACACACACACATGCATACATATACACATACACACATATACACATAGACATCCACATATGTGCACATAAACATATATACATAAAACCTTACACACCTCCAAACATATACATACACAGACATTTAAACAAATATACAACGTATCTATCTATCTATGATAGACTGGATAGTAAAAGAAATGAAACATTTAGCACCAACTGAATATAAAACTCGACATGATATATATATATATATATATATATATATATATATATATATATATATATTTCCAGTCGAAAGAATACCGCTTAAAATCCTCCTTTTGAATGAGAATGATTCTTTGGTTCCTGCCTCTGAGAAGTAAACTGTATTGCATGTAGAATATCAAACTTAACTGTCATTCCAATAGTTGTCGAAATTTTTATAGTCCTCACAGACAATGATTGTAACAAAGATGGAAAGTATACAATTTACGGTCCTATTCAATGCGACGAAAATATTGTGGGTCAGTCTGGTGACATTTCAGTCCATCAATAATCATCAGAAAAGTTTTTGTCTTGTAACAAACAGTAGACTGAATATCATAATTCCTGACTCTATTCCTAATAATACTTCCTTTGATTTCTTCCTTTTACTGAATAGAAAATTAGAATCTGCACAAAGTACATTATTAACAAAGACAGCGGGAAATGTTGAGAAGGGCATCGGACTACTAAATTGTTTTGTCATACAAGAAACGCTACTTAACACCGATAATAATAATAATAATAGGTAGTGAAGATGCACAGAATTGTCCTGCTTATCCAAATACGACATTACTTTGGAATCGGTTAGAAGGCTCTGGATATTTGAAGAGATTTGCTATCAGTCAAGCACCAGCAATCACTACCAGACAAAACTGATGTCAAAGTTCATATCCACAAATAATGATAATAACCAAATAGAAAGATAATAATACGAATATCTTAGAAGTGGATTCGATCATAACAGAGTAATTCAGAAGAATAAGGAAGATTTTGTAAACTAGATTTAACAGTAGAAACCTTATCGCAGCCATAAATACATGGGCAGTTTCCATAGTTAATATATTCATGTTTCTTCCTAACCTGCACAAGAAAACCAAAAAAATGAACTAATGATTATACATAAAGCTTACGCTGTAGAACTTTCATTGATAGACTGGATAGTAAAAGAAATAAAACATAAATGATGATTTAGCATTAAGGACTGCGTCAACTCGACTGTCAATTACAAAGCTATGAAAATGTATTATGCTAATGAGAATTCGTATCAGAACTGATAATAAAATGGTAGATATTGCGTGCGACACATGTAAACTAGAAGCCAAATATGATAAGCAATTCCACATTCACGAGACAAAGAGGATTGCAGAGGAGATTATATAGACATTATAGTTGTACAAAAGACAACGGAAGAAACAAACTGAATCACTATTAATTATTGCCTAGAATATCTGTATTAGAATAAATTATATTAAAGGCAACATAGGCACAACACAAAAGAATTTGAAATGTTGGAGATGAAATCGCTGATGAGAGAATAAATTAGCAAATTAACTCAGAGTAGAGAACAAAAATATACATGAATGAGTAGTAAAGATTATCCATTAGGAATTGTGCAAACACCTTGAATTTGCTCGTGAAAGCTAACAGTTTATGTACAGATATGGTAGAAAATAAAAAAGGAGAATTTTATAGCAATATAAAATTCAAAAGGATCGTCTAATCCGAATAACAAACCAAGGTTTATTCATTGCAACAAATAAAAAATTATTCATCTGGACGACTAAAGAGAGTACTGAAGAGACCTGCTGCCACTTGATCCCAATCTAAAGCCACCAAATAATACTGGTTTGAACAATCAATATAATAATAATTATTATTATTATTACCCTGATGTTATACCATGATTTCTGATTTTAACAAATTTTAAAACGTGAATATTTTTATTGGGTGAACAAAGAAAATGTTCTACAGTAAATGTCCCGTTCTTTACCACATTTCTGCTTGGCAGTTGCCATTTTAACATTTCCCTAGGGGCTGACGCACTGTGCATCTCTGTTCATGAGCGGGAGTAGCGATCGAGTATCATGGCTGTCGTCGAGAGATTTTTTGTTTTTTTTTTGTTTTGTTTTTTTTAGTTTGATGGATGGGATGACCATGATAATTAGAGACACTCTCGAGCGAAGACCGTCTGAGCTGACTGGGTTATTCCAACCTCAAAGTATTTTTAGCTGGGCCCCACCTACAAGCTGATTCGCTGCTTTTATCAAAACCTTCCAACATACAGTGTATATTTGGCTGTGATGCGTGTGTCTGATATATCATTATCCTACTGGGTGTCATGATGTGTTTATTGGATTTCCTATATGTAAACCCGAGCATCACTTTCTTGATATGCTACTAAACAATTGACCATCTTGTATCAGGTTAGCACCAACTGAATATAAAACTCGGGATGATAGAGTAGACCACTATCTGCACTGGAAAATATGCAACTTTTACGGGAAGGAATCTGCAAAGAACTGGTATAGACATCACCCGGACCCGGTTACAGAGATAGGACCTGTAATAATTTTCTGGGACTTTACAATACACACAGAAAGAACAATGAAAGCTAATCGCCCAGACATCGTGATCAACGACCACAAGAACAGAATATGCTTTCTTATTGATATGAGTCCCTGAAGATTGTAACCTTTGAAGATCTTCAAAAAAACTATCATAATACAACAATCTGTGGCACATGAAGACATTAATAATTTCAGTTGTAGTTGGAACCCTCGGGTTGATTGGAAAAGGTTCCGATAGACTCAGTGAAAAGGAACTCGGGGAGCTACGAAAATATACTCACAAGTACAGCTCATATTTTACAAAGAACTTTATCTATGTAAAATGTGTGTGATCTTAGTTTTTCTTTAGTTTTTCTTCTTTTTTTTTTATAAAAATGATTAGTGGAAAATGTCATGAAGCCATTTCCCTCACCTTAGATCTCTGGTTGGGACCCGGAAGGAAATGTGTATACAACAGAGATCAAAGAAAAAAAAAATAATAATAAATTCAATGAATGATAATCGACGACATTTTCTATTTTCTCTTTCTCTCTTCTTTTCAGTCTTCTTTTTATATTTATTTCTTATTTCCTTTGCCTTTTACTCTTTCTTTTCTTCCATTTGTTCTTAATTTTCTTTTCCGACTTTCCTTTCTTCTCTGTCATTTCAATTTGTCACTTTTTGCTTCTTTGTATCATTTCCCTTATCCAAATTCTTTATTAATTTCCACAAGAGTGGGCCAAGTAAGGTCCGCCCTAATCTTATCGATGTTCTCTGGATAAAAGTGGTTATTTTTGTTAGCGATATTGTCAACAGCTTAACTGGGCAATCGGTTAATTATATCACTAGCTTGAACGAGTCGTATTATTATTATTATACTTATTGAGCTTCCGTAATAAGTGTGTCTACGATTTCATAGGGGATCAAGTGACAACAAGTTTCACCATATTTCAGGGCTGTCTTTAATATTATTTCTGATTTTAGTAATGCTATTGTTTGAATGGTTTATATTATTCTCCAAATTTATGTTTTTTTTCATCCTTTAGACAAGACTTTATTATTATTCACAGTACATGATGCTAACGGTTGGTAAAAAGTTTATTTTCAGTTCAGCACTCAAGTTTTATGAAATAAACTGATCCTTTTTTTCTTTTCACCAACAGGCAGTATCTAATACTTTCTGAAGTATTCTCACTGTTCTAAACAGGCAAGCTTTTCATAATGTCTCTATTTCCAAATCCCAATCCAATATCTACAAATTCATTTCTGTATTTTTTTGTACAACAAACCAATGCTCCAATGATCTCTGGTACTTTATTTACTTTCGTTGCTCGTCCTTCACAAACATTCAGAATTTCACATTTTAAATCATTGCAGTTGTCAATCTTCTTTCTTTTCTTTTTTTTTTCCTATTTTTGCTCTCAGTTGTCATGTTAAATGGATGTAAATGGTAAGCAAATCTTTTACTTTCTCCAACATGGCTACATTTGGTTTATTGTGCTGTAAAATTGTCACTGTCTGTATCAGAATATCCCACAGGATTTTTGACTATTTGTCAGCACCTTCTTCTCATTTTTGTCTATATGTTCATAATAATAATAATAATAATTATTATTATTATTATTATTATAATGTCATAATGTTTCTCCAATTATTATTATTATTATTATTATTATTGCAGATATTGTTCTTACTTATACCAGTTTCATCTCATAATTAAATGCCAGTCTTTTCAAATCTTCTACAATTTCCCTGCTATTTACAGTGACCTCAATATCGTCTGCACCATCTTTGTTCTTTCTCAGGTTATTATCATGACATTATTTGACATTTTGTCCTATTTAATAAAACAAAGTTTAAAATAAAATATAAATACTTTATCATTTCTTTCCTACCAACTGAGTGGTCTAAAATCGATCCAAAAGTCTTTTCTGTATTTCCAAACGTTCTTATTTTGTCATAAGTTCATGCCTTCAATAAAATATCATCAGCTGAATTTCGGTAATGGAATCGTTTGTCGAAATCGGCTGTTGAAAGACATTATTCTGATGAATCTTTATTCAAACATCTTTTTTCCTATCCATTCCTTCCACTCACCTTTATACTCTTTCTCTCTCTCTCTTTCTCTCTCTTTCTCTCTCTCTCTTTCTCTCTCTTTTTCTCTCTCTCTTTCTTTCTCTCTCTCCATCTCTCTCTCGCTCAAAACTTATAGCATCACCAATATTTTTATAGGCTAATTATCTGATATACTTCTACCTTCGACAAATGTTGATTAAATTAAACCGAGAAAAGTCTCTTCGTCCAAGTCGGTTTTATTCAAGTGGTTTTTAATGGCGCAAAATAATACATTTTCATAGACTAAGTAAAAACACTTACAATGTTTGAATATCTGTTCTTTTAGAAAATGCAAACATATTATTAGTCTAAAAACAAAACAGGTAGAAATTTTAAAATAAAACAAGAAGCAATTTATGTATTATAATATAACGAAAAGAATCCTTATTTACAGTCACATTGATTTGTCCCTTTCGAATCTACAACCCTTGTAAAAAATGTTTCTTTTCTTTTGTCACTTTTTTCTTGATTCTAAATTTACATTTTGCAATGCTTCCGCTGTAGGAATGGCAGCCAAAATTTGTCCGTGCCTAAATACTGGTTCTGGCAAATAAATTTTGTTGTTGAAAATCTGGCTTAAGAGATTCTTCTTTTCACGGATGGGTGTTTGCAGTATTTCTCTTCCTAATGAATTGATTAAAGAATGGACATATTAAGATAATTTTTTTAAACTGGAATTCATAGTTTAAGGAATGAAATGAGTGACCACAGACGTAAGTAAAACGGGGGAATTTACTTAAGACGGGGGAAGGGCAAATTTATAGGGAAGTATAAGAAGGAAATCAGTGAAATTAGATGAAGGAAAATAAGATAAATATTGGAGATCGGAATCATATTAAAATTTGCTACTATTGGCTCTAAAGGCGATTGCACTTGTTTGTTGTGTCCGAGGTCAAAAATATGAATAGCATTGGATCGATCATTTATAGGTTTTTCACATTCTTCGTGTATGTGCTGAAAATTATTTTGGGAACTGTATACATCTTATATAGGAAGCACTCAAAAGCGGGCAGCTTCAAATGATTTGAGCTAAACCTTGAGAAGACTTACTGCACTCAAACGAAGACAGACTTCTCATAAAACGAAATTGTTCTGATTGTTAACAATTATTAATAATTGTGATAGACTTACAATTATTATTATCAATTATAAATAGTCGCACATTTAATAATAATAATTGAAGATGGTGATTGCGTTAATGGAAAATATGAAGACAAAAGTCAGCTCAGTTGTTATCAGAGCTTATAGCCATGTAAATGATTGGACTAAATAGATCGTCTCTAAGCAGCAATGTATATTTTCAATAATTGTGCTGAAATTATTGATTATTGAAATGACGATAGATAGATAGATAGATAGATAGATAGATAGATAGATAGATAGATAGATAGATAGATGCTTAATGTTCTTCCATCTATCTCTTTTTGTATAAGACGTTAATAGACTCTCATAAGCAATTCGCAAATTACTAGTTTTCCAATTTCAATGCAATTTCACTTATTGATTTGTCAGAGTTGATAAATCGGCTAAATATAAGCGTAAAATAGTATTACTTTCCATCGTAACATAAATTAATGTCTATATATGTGCCTGTGTTCGGGGGTGTATCCTAAGTGTATGTATATAAATATACTTGTATATATATACGTGTATATGTGTGCGCCGTTATGTCCGTATCTAAGCTAGAAATGTGCTAAATGGATAAAAATAAATACACCAAAATAAATTATAAAAATCATATTAAAATTCATTATAGATATTTTTAATAAAATATAAATTTTTATGGGCAAATATATTTATTAATGTTGTAGTGTCTGTACATACATACATACATACACACACAAAGACACACATTCACATGTTATATTAAGCATGTTTGTAGATGCGTTATTTTGCTATATTTACGTTGTATTATATTATGTACGGTAAAATGTTATACATATTGTACAATGCTATATCTCCGTTATATAACATTTCACTTGAACGATGTTACGTTTTATTTGGATTAATGATGCAGTATATGACATATAACAAAATGTTTTTTTTTCTTTACACGCACGAACAGCATTTAGTTTCCATTTTTGCTTTGACGTATAAAAATGGATTTACTGAAAATTTATTGTTCCGACTCACTCCCCAAATAAATTAAAATATTTTTTTAAAAACTCCTTCCTGTTTGTCAGTTATTTTTCAGCAACCTTTGTATAAAGCATTTTGAATTATTAGTTGACTAAATAATAATGCGTTTGCATAACACTAACTTTGACATACGTAGGGAATTAAGTTAATTCTGCATAACTTACAAAACTATTGGTTCTTGGTTCCATACTTACATACGATAATTAATCGTTATTTTTGCCAATAAAAAAATACTAAGAAACGATATAGGATCAGAAATGAATAAGGAAACTTACTGTAAGGCCGCCATGTTTTAGATTATGTCTCCAGTTTATTTTTAGGTTATTTAAATAAAATCTACGTTTTTGAGGAAAACAGAAGAAAAAATCATTAAAGAAATATTTCTTGCACGCTGATTGATCAATTGATCAGTTGACATTTCTTTTCTATGAACAGAAATCAGGCAGCCATTTCGTAAAAAGTTTTCTAATATTATTTCAACCAGGCTCATGATCATCGATCAAACTTTTGTTTGTTTCTAATTTACAAATGATTGAGAGCAATTTTTAAAAAATGCATAACAAGTATTAATGAATTATAAATGTGTGCACAGACTCACACACGTGCGTGCATGTACGGGTGTATTTGCACATTCATATGTATACACGCTAGCACACATATATACGCTTATATATTCCTAAATATGTCTATGTATTAATGCAAACACACTGAAAAAAATTAATAATTCCGTTATTTACTCTTTTTTTCGCATTTTTTCAATGAAATATGACCCAGTGCACATGTTAGTACTTCATATCTCCATTCCACGAAGTCTTTCCTTGCAGACTAACCACAGGTTCTCGATCGGATTTAAATCAGGAAAGATTCCCGGTCAGTCTATAGTACTTTAATTGGCTCACTGATAAGGCTTGCCAGTGTGTTCGTGCAGTGTTACAATTTTCGTACGCTTCCTTGGAGTAATGTCCATCGCAGACAATGGCTTTAGGACAACTAATCAACAGTCTAAACAATAGTGTCTGGGCGTGATAAAAAAAAACTGATTCAATCATGAATGACGCAGTATTTTTCAAGGCCATACAAATTTCATTATAGACCCTGAAAATAGATTCATATTACTGCACACCACTGCAAATAACCTAATCTGAGGAAAAAATAGAAATCGTTACACCCTGCCACTCCAGTGGATCTAAAACTGACCGAATGGTAAAAAAAAAGAAACTAAAGTGGTTGTTTCAATTAATTTGCACAAGGGTGTCTATATATAATTTACATGTATGTATGCATTTATCTAGGTATACATATATTATGAATTTATGCGCAAATCTTAACAAGCACTAAATGCTGAATATTGGGAAAGAAATTTGACAGAAAGGAATTCAAAGAAGATTCGTTTTAATTTGTATTTTTACATAGTCAGTTGCTTTCGGAATATCTCTTTTGTTTAAAACTGCATGACGCTACAGTATTTACATTAGTCGGACTATTGTAAAATACTGTACATAATACCTCATCTCAGAAATATAGACAAACTCTGCATGACGCTAGTTTTTACGTTGAGATGCAAGTTGAGTTTTACATTACAGGCAAAAAGTTTGGGGCCACCCTGCATTTATTTACAAAAAACCTTAAAATGAAATAGTTTTGTATTGTTTTAAAGTAAAAGATAACATTTCAGTAATTACAGTGTATTTGATTTTATATTGACAAAAAATAAGTACTTAACTCTAAAGAATAATCATACAACAACATCATATGTTGTTTTAGTCAATAAAACCAATTCCTGCCTTAATTAATTTTTGGCATTCTTTCCAACAGTTTTTGAAAATGTAGATGACAGACCTTTGCAAACATTCCTCAAGCACTGAAAATGCTCACTCAAACATTTTGGGTATTCTTTTCAAACTCTCTTATCCGATTCCTCCCATAAGAATTCAATAAGAAAGAAACCAGGAGATTGAGGCGGTCAATCACAATTTCCAAAATTGTGGTTCTTTTTTATTTGAAATAATCTAAAACAGTTGTTTGGGTCAATGTCTTGTGGAAATGTAAATTTTTTGCCAATTATGCGTAAACCAGGATGATATTGTCCTTTTGTTCATGGTTTCCTTGATCTGAATCAAATCTTCGGCCCTCAAAATGTTTACTGAAGGATTAATAATGAAAACAAAATATAATATTTCTCAAACAAAATATTCATAATTTATCTGTGCTCAGATGAATCCAAATTTGAATCTTTTGTTAGTAAGAGGAGCTTGGAGAAAGACTAAGAAATACATTGTTGGTACTGAAATTTTATCTTTTACTTTAAAAAAAGATACAGAAATAGCTCATTTTAAGGTGTTTTTTCAAAGAAATGCAGTGTGGCCACCAATTTTTTTTATAAAAGTATCGCAGAACTGGAATTCATTTGTCAGGGCTTTGGGGCGTAATATAACCGTAATATAACTTTTGTCATATAAGTAACAACAAATATAACCTTTGTCATATAAGCAACAACGAAATCAACAAAATTAAACAAAACCGAAACACCGTATGTGCTAATAGATCAAACCCGAGATAAACATCTGTCAGATATAAAACTATCAAACATTGAATTAGAAACCCTAAACTTTTGACCAAAGTTTGCTACTAGGATTCAAAAAGGAGAGCCAGTAGACTCGATAATTAAGCACCATAGACAAAACGACACGGAATTGACCAAAAGGCTTCATCCAAGTATTGATTATTGCTTCTCTGAGAAGAAACAACGAAATAATACTACAAACACACTTAAAAAGATTAAGAAACCTAAGCATAAATGAGGAAATTTCTATCACCGTCTCGGACAAAGGCGATGGAATTGTTATTATGAACAGGAATACAATCAATGAAAAACTTACATAATTATTTAATGATACTAATGCATATGAGAAAATAGATGAAAAATAAATAATTCCAGGCACACAAAAATTTAACAAAGCAATTAGAAATTTAGTTAGCAATG